CATTTGTCCTCAGCTGTGATGCTTGTTGTGGAGCCAAGGAAGGTCGTCTCTTGAACAAGTGGTTACCAAGTGTTAGAGATTTCGTTCCTCTGGTCTGGGGTATCGCTGGCTTAGATGTCTGGGGCCCAATTCGCCCGGGTTTCAATGGTGATAATCAAGAGAAGGTCTGGGTATTGACTTGTTCCGATTACATCAGCCACTTCTTGGTTACGAAGGTGTTAACGAGCTGTTCGCCAGAAGACATTGTGACTGGTGTCAGTGAAATTATGGCCGAGAACGGCGTGTTCCGCGTATGCGTGACTGACCAGGCCCAGTACTCTGTCTCCAAGAGATTCAGAGAGTATCTATTCAGCAGGAGTGTTGTTCACTGTGCCACGGAGGCTTATGATGAAGAGCGACTAGGTTGGTATGAACGAAGCCGCAAGGAGCTTACGGTGACTTTGAGGGCTATGGTTAGTGAAGGTCAGGCTATGGATTCGATCAACCAAGTGCGGCAGCGATTAGCTCTGTGTACGTTCGTTCACAACGCTATCCCATATGATGATAGTAGCGATCTAGCCCCATGGGCGGTGCATCGCTCGACGGCCGATGCCTGCACTCTTTACAATGATCTTCTTGGTCGAGAAGAGGTATGTCAGTGGCTTGGTTCTGGGTTGGAATTTGAGGACCTCACAGAGGGCCTTCAGGGGATCTCAGATTATTACCGAGTCCAATACGGTAAGTCGGTTGAGTCGTTGAGACGATTGTGGTTGGCTCGGAAGGCTGAAGTTCGTCGACGACTAGCAGATCGGCGGGATCCTGCAGGTGGGAGTCCGGTAGCGGTGAACGATGTAGTCTATCGCCGGATAAATTAGCCGATTTGTATACAGGGCCATATCGAGTGGAGGCGGTGAGAGGTTCGACTATTGAGCTAGTACGGCTCGCGGATGGGTCGGTAACTACGGCGGTAGTTAATCAGCTGAAGCGAAGCTGCCGTCGGGAGAAGATTGATGAGGTTGGTGAGGAGCCTTAACAGTCCACCACGGCAGTGCAGACAGAGCCGAAGCAGACAGGAGATTGGGGATCCGTCAAGATTGACAGAAAGAATCTACGCCGTTGGAGGGATACTGTGAAGGCGATGTCGAAGTCAGGTCCGGGTATGTTGACCCGGGGAAAGAAGAGAGTTCTGAAGCAGATTGAGGAGGTTAGTAAAGCTCCTCGTAAGAAGCTTTAGGGGGAGTGTGCTGGACCGGGCCTGGGTGCGTGAATATGAGTTTGCGTCATGAGATGAGTCTGCGTGCAAGCTTTATCCAGCGGCTTCACCCCGTATTATCAGAGTCTGATCGATCGAGTATAACTGTGCTATAGTCTATCAT